AGAGCAAACGGGTTTTATTACCTGCCACCAGTCTGACTCCTGGTCAGCTCAGTTGGCAGGGCACTCCACTGCAGTTGGTAGATCATTTCATCTGTGCTCGCTGTGTGCTTCGTGCGATGGACTGTGAGGCGATCCCGTCTACATCTACGGCCCCGACATCGGCAGCAGCGTCTACATCATACGGCGGCTTCCGCAGGCAAACGCGGCCGTCCACGCAAATACGCCACAGCCAAGCAAGCAGGCCAACGAATACGCAAACACACACACCTAATAAAATACCCACAGAAACAACTTTAATACATGTAGAAACATTGCTCAAAAACATTTCATCCACAGGATATTAATGCTTTCGCATTATGCTTTCGCATCGTAAGCAGTCTTAACTGTCTTCGGCCATGTTTTCTATTTTAGTTTTGTTTTCGGTGGCACACCAGTCACTTTTTTGGGCTTGAAGATTTGTCCGTTTTATGTCCCCCCTGTTGCCCTTCTTCAGGGATTATTATCGTGATTCTTGTCCAGCTCGCTTGTACCTTTGCATTAATTGCATTATCATCACAGCCTTAATATGCAGGCCGTTCACCCTTGTTGGTGTTAGGGCAGCTGATAACACCCGTTTACTCTACTGGCGTCTAACTCCTGGCTAGCTGAGTTAATAGAGCGCTCCACTGGAAGTGGAGAGGTGCTTGGCCTGATACCAGGACCAGGCGAAATTTTTCGGTGCCGTGCCAGTTGTGGTTGGAGATTTGTATTTGTCCTTTGTCCCCCTTGTTGTCCTTCTCTAGGGGATTATTATCGTCATTCTTGTCCAGTTCGCTTGCACATTTGCATTACTTGCATTATCATCATAACCTTAAAACGCAGGCCGTTCACCCTTGTTAATGTTGGACTGGTGGCAGCTGACAAAACCCGTTTGCTCCACAGACGTCTAACTCCTGATTAGCTCAGTTGGTAGAGCGCTCCACTGGAAATGGAGAGGTCCCTGGTTTGATATCAGGATCAGGCGGATTTTTTCGATGGCGCACAAATCGCCTCCGTGTTTGGAGATTTGTGTTTGCCCTTTGACCCTCTTGTTCCCCTTCAGAGATTATTATCGTCATTCTCTTCCAGCTCGCTGCACTTTTGCATTAATTGTGTTATCATCATGCTCTTATTGGGTCACAGTGGCCGTATTTTATCGGTTTGGTTCGGGTTCGGGTTCACGGCTTTCGGTTCAGTTCCGGTTCAGTTCCGGGGCGCAAAAAATATCGGTTCAAACCGGTTTGAACTGCTAAATTGATAATATATTTTCCGCGTTGTTCTGTCAATAGGCACTATTTACGCCGTGAAACGAGCTACTGTAAACGACTTACTTTTCGCCAGAACCTAATTCTTGCGGATTTCTTGGATCGCCTACAATTCACGAAAAATAGGTCCCGCGAACAATTTCGGTGAAATGTAAACAGATTGGAATTTATATTGAGATCTCACCGTTTCGTGAAAATTATAACCCACGAAATATTCCAAAACTCCAGCTTTGACCTACATCGGTAAATATTTAGCCCGCGAAAAATAAGTGGTTTACAGTATATAGTTTTTTTTTCTATCGTTTGTTCAATCCATTTTTATTTTCAGGTACCAGAATTATAAAATTCTATTATTTATTTCTACACAACAGGAAAAGAAAATCTCAAAACGTCGTGTTTATACGACTCAACATCCCTTTGTTTACCAGAGTCACATATATTGTACCTGAATCGAAATGTTTTCGCGAAGTGAGGTAGGTCGCCTAAAATACCCGTGATTCGTACAACTTTGCATCGCAGTATTAGAAGTTGAATTGTGGTTTTGCCCTTGAACTAAGGAATTAATTACAGTGCATAAAATCATGAAATGGGCACCTCGTCGCCATATATACCATAAAATGTGCTTTACGAAATACATTTTACATTATGTATATATATGATGACGACACGACTGAACTAAAAGCAGAACAATTTTCAAAATGTCACGAAAGTTAGAGGACAAGCCCTTCCAGTATATATTTTAAAGAAACTCTGAGCGACAATCAAAAGGCTTGTTTTTCAAACCAGCATTGTTTACACTCAGCGCCGTGATGCGGGCAACGAACCGTGCAGAAAGGAGTGACCAAAAATTGTTCACTCTAATCTATAAGCACCTTCGCACTGAGATCGAATCTGGCCTAAAACAGTGCTTACCCAAGTGAACATTTTCTTATACTGGATAAACTGGCATAGCCTGGATGTTGAGGTTTGTTCTTGACGAGAGGCCGGTAAATTTAATTTGAAAATGAGCATCGCCCTCGCTAATAGAACTAGAACAACGTGGTATTTCATGCTCTACTCGATTTGTAAGCTACTTAATTAGATTTCTTCTGACAGTTTGCGTGTGTAATAGTCATAGTTCCACCACTCGTATCAGTGTATTTTGTTTTTGTCCGACCCATAGACACGTAAACGTTTTGTTGACCACATAAAAGTGGCGATAATAAACTTATATATATTTGAGAAGTTATATACGCCTGAGAAACAGTTATTTAAATTAGCTCCAAGATCAGACTTTTTTTTTTTAAGGCTTTCCCAAATCACTTAAAACGTGGGTATCGTGGATAAAAGCGCCGAAAAAGATTTGCAGGGCGTCTTTCAAATAATTTGAAGGTGCATTTAGTTATAATATATATCTTTGAGGCGATGGATCTTCTATTTATGTTGTCAAATTTTCAGACAGGAATTAAATATATCTTTATTATCATCGATGAATTTGACTTAATGAAGTTCACATAACCGCTTGAGACCGACACGGAAGGACGATACTCGAAAATACGCCAGCTGTTGAGTCTCCGGGAACGCGTTTTTGTTCGCAGTTTCGCAGAGTAAAATACTGAGTTGCAGGCTATGCCAAAAGAGGCTGCGGTCACATGATATATCGGAAGGCTAATACACGAAATTTCTAGAAATAGGGAGATGACAGTTAATTTTGTTTTAAATAATCCCTTACACAACGCTTTACCACAAAAAGAGATGCATAGAAATGCATAAGATGATATTACTAATTAAACATAAATTGTGCGTAGGGAAAACGAAGATTCTTAGAATCCTAATATAAACCACATTTGGGCATCAGCTTGCCTGAGCTCGAAACGTCGCGAGATATACTGCCTCGGAAGGCTAATGCTATATTATGTTTTACGTGCACTTGTTTTGGGACCTCACTTCACAACTCTGTTCTTTATCAGTCATGTGCTCTAACGTTTCATTAGGCTGCCGTATATCATCGCGAGACTGCTATAAATACTACACAACTTTGCACTTTGGACGTCTATTGCAAGTGTTGCGAACGCCGCACTTCGCCAGAAAGGTGGAGTGTTTAACATGGTTTGCACGTGACATAAACGCACTATAGACCGGCACACTGTTTACAAACAAGCCCGCGCTTGCCCACACCAGGTGTGGGCACTGCGCGTGCGCAGAAACCGAATTCGCGTGAAGTGAAGCGTCTGCGCATGCGCAGTGCTGTCGACAGCGCACCGCAGCTGCATGACGTCAGGGCCGCGTGTTGGTCTATATGCTGGTGGTCATTGCGAGTCGTTCTTGCTGAGAAAATCAAATCCGGTGGGGCAAAATGCACGCTGCAAAAGGTTCGCGCTCAGTGCAAGCTATGTATTTGACAGGCACACATTCTTTTTCTTGGTGCATTGTCGTTAGGCACGGCGCGAGTATCTGGCACGACGAAAACGTGCTTTCTGGCAAGAGTGTTTTTGCAAAAAAAAGTTGCACCAACTACCCATCTGTCACTATAGTTTGCAGGCCACGCTTTCTAGTCTGCACTGGAAATATAGGGCAGAGGAACCTTTACGACACAGTATGCTTTCAAAAGTACCCCCGTCCCCTCCCCTCCCCATTCCCTTTTCTTTTTTTAGTTGCTCCTCAAGAGAAAACTTTTTATTCCTGAGGGATTGCCTGCTCCGTATTGAGGGGTGTTCATTCGACAATTATATTTGTGTCACTTGTTAACAGTAATTCTTCATTGCTTCTACTTTGCACTAAACTGTGAAGTTCAAACAAAATTCAGAGGGAGTCGAAACTTGGAGAACTTAAGTACGACAATCCTGTGAGACTCAGAGCGGTTGCCAACTTTCGGCTATCCCCCTGAGGCCACTAGGATCTTTCTTTTCAGGTATCCCTCCCATACACACTTATAGTTCTATGTAACGTCGGACTAATACGTCGACATTTAGACCTTTCAATTTCAACACTTCTATTCTCGGGGACAACTCTCGGAGACAGTTCAGCAACAACGAAAACATGATGGGTGCCTCAGTGGTGTATATATACATGTAAAATGGGTCATGCTCCCCAGATCTGAACCGGAAGTCAACCGAAAGTCGTGAACACAAACTCGACCCGAACTGACAAAAAATTCGGTTAGACAGTCTCCTCAAGACATGTGCCGCAAACCATCACGACACCGATACCTCAACGAACATGTTTCCGTAATATATGTCTTTAATGGCGGGTGTAACCTTCGAAGTGAACACGAGCACGCAAAACAATCAGCGAGAGGGACTGCCGCCTAGCACTTTGCGTGTGTGAGCCGTAGCAGCCCTGCGTACCTCGAACGAGTTCACGGCACGGCCGGCTTGGGCGTGGTTCATAGTAGTGGTCCTCAACTAACTGGTGTATAGGAGTACGCAGCTCTAGCACATTAGGCGGTAACGCACGTGGACGACGGCTAATTCCCAGGTGTCGTTTACAAGTGGTGCCTCAAAATCGTGTTTGTTTTCGCTCCCCAAGCGTAGCGTAACAAACTACACGAGAAAGGATTAGTGCAGTTGCATATCAATGCCAAGCTTACTCGCGTCAAAGAATAAACTGCCGCTCAGAAACTCTCAACCGCGGATGGGGCTCATAGTTTCGTTTTCGTGCGTCTGCTTACCATCTCCTCCCTTCTATCGAGTTCAGAAGCTCGCATATCTCAAGGCGAGGGAAGCAAGCTTGCCGCCCGGTTGCACATAGAAAATCTCCAATTGCGCAACCGACGTCGAACGAACTCTTTGCGCCGGAAGGAGCTCCGACTTCCGCCGAGTTATTTTGCGTCGCCCGGTCGTCCAGTCGATCCAGACACCTGCCCGATTTGCTCCGTCTCGTCTACCAAGTTTTTAAAATGTCGGCTGGAGGTGGTGAATCTGAGAATGAAAAGACACCGGAGGCTTTGCCAACGACGAAAAAGATCAAGAAGTGGCGCTGGATATGTGGCGCCTTCACCCTCGCCGTGTTGATAGTCAGCGCCGTTTTCATCTGGGTTTATCACGACCGCCTGTTCAAGCGGGTACAATCGTCCTCCAAGGTAAGAATGGAATTTTTACATTTATGCATAGGCCTCTCAACGTAGTGGCCAGAGTTACGATCTGGGCAATAGCTATGTTTGAATTTTCCTTGGCTGCTCACATTATACCAGCATTTACTTGAAGTACGAGTGTTGCAGAGCTACAAGAGCGAATTCCAGGCTCTGAGATGCGCCTGGCACGCACGCTAACTCGTGCAGCTCAAGCATCTTTCAGAGCAACATACTCACTTCCTCGATTCCTCCTTAAGAAAAAAAAAAAAAAAAGATGTAGTAGACACGGCGCAGTCAAGGATTCTACCTCACTTGTTCGCAAGGCATTTTTTCACATTTACATTTATTTCAGAAGGCTGTGAAGGCAGGTTTCATATCTGATGGACCGGCAATTCATATATTAATAATTTGAAGAATTTAAAATATTCTGCAGCTTGTCAGGGACAAGTTTCTGCAGAATTTTAGAAAATAATATGAGTGCGTCTGTCCAGCTTTAATCGGTGCTAGATGAAGCCCGCGCTTCATGTAAATTTAGCTGCATCGCCTTGAAAGTTGGCTGCAATTATTGCACTGTTAATGTAGACAAATTCAGGGTGTCTGTGTTTTGTCACACCTTGCGTGTAACCAGATATTGCATTCAGGGGTTTCCAAACAAACTACCGCCCGCGGACAAGATACGGTCCGCAGTCCTACCAATGGCTGCCGTCCCTCTACGTGTTTCCACCACTGCCAAAAGCGGCAAAAACAAAACAAAACAAAAACTCGCGCGCGTAAAGTTAGGGCGTCGCGTAGCAGAGCAAACTCATCACACCCGTTCTGATTCCTATCTGATGGTACGTGTCATATAACATAATACATATATTGCACGTTCTCATCACTAGCATCACCATCGTACCCAGCAATTACGGACAATATACGGCTCTGACGGACATAGTCCACTTGCGCCATCTACCTCCGGACGCGGGTACCCTGCAGAAATTTCCATGGGAAAATTCGTTTTCTCGCTATCAAATGAAAATGAGCGCACATCAGTCTTGTACGCGTTACTAAAAAAAGTAATCGATTACAATTACTATTACTCTTGGCTCAAATGTATTATATTAGATTACTTGATTACAGGGATGGGCAAAATACATGCAAATATGTATCGAAATAGAAATACAAAATACTTCGTCAAAAATGTATTTAATTACAAATCTAATTACATTTCCAAAAAAGCATTTAAATACAAGATACAAATACAACCAAATGTATTTGGTCTCCTCCAAATACTTTTCCAAATACATTCCTCATAATTTGCATCAGCGACTTCAGGGCACAACGGGTTTCTGGGTATCTCATTTTAATTTTGCATCGCACACTTGGGAGTTAGTGTGCGAGGCTCTAGTAGCGTATTAGAAATATAATCACAAAAAAATGTAATCATCTTGGACGTAATAGGTGAAAAAAGTACAGAGCTTCAAGCAGCTTTTTTTGTCGATTACATTTTGGTATAGACCAACAAAGAACCGAGACGACCGAGACGCGCAGCACTAGCTAGAGAATTTTTTATTGTTGCAACTCGCACCAGTTACGAAAATCTGAACGACCCGCGCATTTAGAATGTTCTAGGCAAAAATATGGATGGAACTCAGGCTGGAAAGCATCACAAGTTGTCACAGGCACTTATTTAGCCAGTCTGCCTGTAAACGTCGATTTTGTCACTATTCTTGCGCTGGACTAGCACCGTAATCACAACGTCACTAAACGCTTGTGCTTGATTGAGAGACACTCAGTGATGTGATTGGCCGAATCCATTTTAGAGCACCTTTCGGAGTAGCAAAAACAGTGTTTTGGAGCAGCAAATGTGGCCTTTGGAGCAACCAAAACAGCATTTTGGAGCCGAAAAAGTTGCTTTGGAGCAGCCAGAAGAGTGTTTCGCAGCAGCAAACGGCTTTTGGAGAAGATATTTTTAGAAAAATAAAAATATTCGTTTTTAGTGCTCTACAAACAAAGGGCACTTTCTGTTGTGTTGTGTTCTGATGTGACGTGTTGTGACGGAACTACCTGCTTGCGTTTTCACTGCTGAGCAACGTGCTGCCGAGGCACCCCACAAGTGTAGAGTGCTGCAGGCGTTGCCGAGCAATTCCGAAAAACCGCTTGTGCAGCGTAGCTGCCAGAGTAGCGCCACGCTTTTCCCTGTGCCGCCTCTCACCGTGATTGGGCACACGCGGTACCATAACAACGAGCCGAGCTGGCACCGTGCCCATAAAAAGCGAGTGACTACTCGTCACGTGACCTCACAAGAGCCGTGCTGTCACCGGTAAGATGGCAGCGCCCAGAGCTGCTGGATACGAGTTTGTTCTGTGGGCGGTAGTCGTAATGTGCCGCTGCTTGCTGACGATTTCAGACTTCTTCGTGCTCTCTGACACAGGTATAACGCGAAGATCTGAAAGAATGAGACTTTATACCTTTTCTGTGCCAGATCGCTCTGGATATTAACACCTGTGCGACAGCATCAGTCATATAGCCGTAGCGGTGCTCGGATTCCTGGATGTGTTCGAGGATCGATGAGACTTTTTGCATACAATTTTCGCATACTCCTAGCCTTGTTTGAACGTTCGAATGTCTGAGAATCGATGCGAATCGTATACATATGCGTCGCACGTTGGACATTAGTGAAGTTGTTTCAGCACCAGGTAACCGTGTAATCACAGAAACGTTTAGTGAGGAAGCTCCTGCGATCTTTACGTTTTGTACTAATTAATAATTTTACGATATAGCTTTTAGGGTAACATTTTCGCATTTTTCTAGCTTCATTTGAATGTTGGAATTTCTGAGAATCGAAACGAAAGGTATATGTCGTGTGTAGGGCCTAGAGGAAGTTGTTTCAGCCCCTGGTCACCGAATAATCACAGCAACTTTGAAGGGGTACTCCACCGATTTTTTGAGCTACCTCAACTAACTATATTTTCTGACTCCCCGGCCTTTAGTCTCTCCGCTATGCTATTTAGAATCGCGAAATTCATAATAGGTATTGTGAAATCGGCAAATGAAAATGATGCAAAAACCAACAATCAAATATACGCGCACTTTTCAGTGCCGTGACGTCAGTGGCAGGCAGGCTTGCCAGTCGAGCAAGTAGTCTAAAAATAGAATATGCCAATCATTTGTTCCGTGCTGGAGCGCGGGTACTGCAGCGAGCTTCCCAAGCATTCATTTGACACCATGAAACTGCTTCGAATCAGTTTAAAACAAAATCTACAGCCCAAAGAGTGAACCCCTGCCTTCCACTGACGTCACTTTCTCATTGTTTCCAGTAGAGACTTCGAGCTTGAAAAACACGGTGACAACCAAAACTGTAAATACAATAACTTCGCGAAAAAACAATATTTTGACCTAATATTTGGGATACTATTTTCGCGATGTTTGTTGGTTAGTTTAGCAAAATTTCAAGCAAATCGGAGACAATGAAAAAACCTGTGGAGTACCCCTTTAAGCGAGGAAGCGCCTGCGATCTTTAAGCTTTTGTACTAATCGTCGATTTTACGAATTGACAGTTCTGAAGAATTTGATAAACGTCCTTTCGTTGCAATAGCTTGCATTTGATCGCAGTGTTTTTTGGTTTCTTAGTTTTTTACAAGAGAATGTATGCTAAGCATACATTCTCTTACTATGGGATAGTCGAGCAGCAGTCATGTCCCAAGGCAATCGTTCTGTCGTGGCCCGCATAATCGGATTTTGTTCCATAGGAGCGAAGTCCGAAAGTACAAGGACGGTGCGTTCGTCCCAGACATGTACAAATTACTCAAAAAAGGTAGTTAAGTTAAGTTACTGAGTATCGACGCCAAAAGTAATTGAAGTAGAGTAGAAATTACGCATTTGTAATAGTAATTGCGTAAACTACTAACTACTCTAAAAAGTAGCGAGTTACTTTGAAGTTACTTTCGAAGTTACTTTTTTTTTATATTTTTGTGGTAGCAAAATGAACAGCAGTTTTGATCAATGAAAAACCCTGAGAGCCTAAAATAAACGCAGTCTATTTATAGCTGGGTGATTTCAGATAAGATCGACCAAAGGGTGGCTGGTCGACATTTTTAAATCAACTGATGTTTTTATATGACATTGTCTAGTGTCTGGTATAAACGAATCCACACTTAGTTTTGACCAGAAAAAAATTTGGAGACAAGAAAAATCGTAAGGCAGGGAGAGGTGGACAGTTGCAATAACGCGCACTGATGGAGGGGGCAAGTTTGAAAGTGAATAATTAAAACAATAAAATTAGGAGAATTTTAAAACTTTTTACAAACAAACTATGGGTACAACTTGCTTGTAATATAAAGTAATAATATTTATTAAAAATTTATTTAGTTTTCTAAAAATTACCAAACATGCCTGCTCGAACGACAAATGGCAAACTTTGGAAATCTGTATCTCATGAAATAATTTAATCATTATTACATAACTTGCAGACATTATTTTACTAATATATGGCTATTATTGAAAAAATAAATAAGGTATCTGAGTGACACAATAGTTACAATATATTTAGGCAAACATGGGAAAAAAATCAAACAAAGAAAAATTCCAATGCGAATAAAAAAAAAACACCACCTTCGATTTTTTTTAAAATTTGGGTACCCTGTTATACTCTATTTCGGCATTCATTTCTATTAAAAACATGTTGCATCATTGCACTGTGAAAGAAGAAACAACTCCCCAAAGTAGGGTCCTTTTTCAAAGCCTACACTTAGCAGTGTCCTATACAGGAAGTGACTCTTAGTTCCAGTTTCATGAAACTTGCACAAATCTTTTATATACATTTATTCAGATGAGGTCATTGATAAAAAGAGCGATCGTTCACACAGTAAAAGGGAGGAGAAACTATATACAGCATTTTACATAAGCGTACAAAGTGGTATCATATTAGAGACTAAGGATTTGAGAAAAGATGATGCAGTGTGAAGTTGTACCTTCCGGTATATTTTACATCTAGAGTAAAATAAATAACTTTACTTCCACACACAAAA